CCCCCCCCCCCCCTTGAGCTGATTTGAGTATTGGGAGCTGTGCAATTAAAATATGTTTTTTTTTTACAAAAAAAATTATAATATAATGTTGCTAAGGTTTATTATTATTTTTTAATTAGTAACTTTATTTTACAGCAAGTATCATGTCAAGAACCGGTTCAGCGCTGATCACACCATTCTATTGGGTGTACTTGATGGTGAAAACTGTCGTCACCACCACCGTCACCACCATCACTGAAACTGTAAGTAATCACTTAATACGTAGCTTAGATATCTTGTCTATTGAGAGGGCACACCTTTGACTAAACTATCGGAGAACTGTTTAGTATCGGATTGATTCCTATAAGCTTATATAGCTCACACTACTCGATGTTTAGTTGTGCGACTAAACAGTTGAATGAGCTGCGAAACAATCGACAATCGCACGACAGTTGTGCGATAATTTAGTCAGAAGTTTGCGCCCGATTTGAATTTAAATATTCAAAGTAAATAAAATTTAGCTGATGTTGCTTGTAGATTTGCTTTCTGTTAGTAAACCAATTATAGAATTTTCTATTATATTATATTTTGATACTTTGGAAGAAACCAACATTGTAATTGGTTAAAAACTAACTAGTTTCGGACCCGCCGGGGTTTACAGGGCGTTCAGCGTAATTAACAACGCCTTAGTTAGTTAATGTATAACTCCTAATGTTTAAACATTTACTGGTTATTAAAAAAAACTGTTAAAAACGTCGCAACTTACATTTAATAATCCGGCACCGGCTAGTTTCGAACACTTCAGGGGTCCATCTTCAAGGCGAGTGTTTATTACAGAAGGTTATACGTGATTTCAGCTGTTTTTAATAGTAAAAAAGTGTATACAATTCAATTTATTTGTATTTGGTTTAAAATATTGTTAATAATATTTTTCAGATAACGACCAAACATGAGGATAAAAACGGAAAATACGTAGCGCGTAGTTACCAGCCGAGTGCGGGAAGACGCCGCGCCTGGCCCTGGCTGCTGCTGCTGCCATTTCTAGGATACGGATGTAAGTTTTATCATTACTTAATATATCAAATTTATTCTGACAACATTGAATATTCTTGTAACAAATTCTACTATACGACAGAAACGTTTAAAATTCTAATTATAGAGCGACAAAGTTATCTGGCCCGGTAAAAGTGACCATAAATTGTAGATCGGTTAGTCTTATGGCAATCTGAAATGTTTGAATGACTTGACAGTGTCATGTTTTGACCAATGAGGGAATGACAGTTGTATGTTGCCATATCATGATTTCTGTATTTTATCTATACTAATATAGTTAAGCGTAAACACACTACTTTATAGCGTAGGATGTTACCAATCACAGTATTTTTGAATAATTCTTTCTTTAATAAAACTCCCTACACTTAAGATATGCTTTAGGCTATAAATTTTTACGCTATTAAACTTAGGGGATGAATAAATTAGAAAAAACCTTCATGTGGGAAAGGGACCATAAAGTACAAGCTGCCAGCATCAAGCTAATTTGACATATGTAAACAATAAAATAAAATTTTCATAATTCCATGCGGATGAAGCCGCACAGGAACAGCTATTATAAAATAAATAGCAGGCAGACAAATGATGATGATCAACTTGCCTTTATCCCATATAGAGGGTCGGCACAGTATGTGCTGCTCTTCCATACATCTCTATCAGCCGTTATATCTGAAACCACTACTTTCTTGAGCATATCCTCTTTCACACAATACATTCATACTTTCTTCGGTCTTCCTCTTCCTTTGTAGCCATCCACATTCATTGAATTAATTTTAATTGTTAATGTTAGTACTATAGGAACAATAACGTCAAAGCGCACTTGCTCGTAGTGTTTGTTTCAATAGTACGCTTGATGTCAAAAGATTCTTGTAACTGTCAAGGTTTGTAAGACATTTTGTATGACCAAGTAGATTTCATAAATTCTGACAGAACTTACTGTCAGCCTTACCGGGCCAGATATCCTTGTTGGTCTATACCATGTTCAGTGCCACTGACTCATAAATTCATACAAAACAATATGTTGTATGGAAAACATTGGGCAATCTGAGCATTCTTTACAGAAAATTGAGAAAAATAATAATTCCTTTCAGTGAACTACACATACAACAACTACGAGCATCTGGCAATGCCAAACTTTACAGATTTTCATTTAGATTTATCGGAATTTTGCACTATGGAGATACCAAAAATATCTTTGCCGAATGTTTCGCTGTCGGATTTGTACAATTTGCCGCGAATTAATCTGACTTTGCCGGATATAAATATAACTTTGCCTGAAATGCCAAATGTCGGTGAGAATTTGCCGCGTGTTTCGAAAGCGTACAGAGAATACAAGGATATTGTTCATAACAGAATGGCAGACGCCACAGATTATATATCGGTTGTGGCGGGAAGTTGTTATGAAGAAATACGACGATTTTGGTCTGGATTCTGGGTATAATTAGCAGACTCGCTGTTAAAATATTATTAAAAATTATTCAAGCTTTTTGATAGAAAATTGTAAAAAAATACACTTTTGTAATGCAAAATTCTGCAACTCAAATGATTATATTAAATATTTTTTTGTTTTTTTTTTATGAATCAGAATGATTACAGTATGTTTTTAAACAATGTTACTATAGTGGAAACATAATTTTTTTAAAATAATTAGGTTTAACGCGAGCCATAGATTATGTAAATGTGGTACTTAATATTTTTTTGTTGCTAAGCCTAACTCATTCCTTTAAGATTCATTATTATTTTGTTAAACATTTTATAATATTAATATTTTTATATCAATATATTAAGTTCAGTTTTTATCCACAAATGATTAATATTTTTTTAACAATTATTGCAATTTTCTATTTCGTTGTGATTTTTTCCAGTACAAATTTTATTTTTTTAATTATGATATTATTTAAATTCTATCAGCCTTACAAATAAGTTAAATTTGTACTAATATTTGCTTAGTTTATACCTAAGTTTAACTTTATACCGCGTTTTGTAAGGCTGTTAATATTTATGTAGAATATGTTCTCTAAATATTTTGTGCCATTGGAAAAGTTCAAAATTATGAAGCTTTATTTTTTTTAAGTATTATAATCGATGTACCTAAAATATTACATGGCTATTAATTTAATTTATTTATACTTTTAATATGTGGGATAATAGGGAATATGCATGTATTTTTTCTTTTTTTAAACGATTCTACTTGTTATAAAATAACCAGAAAAAAAAATTAAGCTAAAATATTCAACCATTGAGCAAAAAATAATAAAACAGAATTACGACCATTTTCGAGCGACTAAAACGCGACCGGAGTTGACATTAGACATAACATACGCTCAGATGTCACTTCGATGTAAAAAACAACAAAGTATCTCGTTGCTTCTCAAGGTCAAAAAGTCAAAAATCGATTCATTTTTATTATTCCTGGTACATATAAGCGGTAATTAATAATTCCATTCATTATTTTTTTTTATTTTAAAGTTGGTTTTGATATCGTGTTTACAGTAAAATACTTCAAGAGTGCATTTCTATACAAACTAACGTAAATGAACTGTGTATTGTCAACACAGCGACGCCATATTAGATAAGCCACTTGCTTCGACCAATAGTGTGCGTTTTAGAACTAAGAGAGGGAATTTGAAAAAAGACACTTTTTAATGAATAAATTTTGCCACCAAATCACATTATATTAAAAAAAAATCTTTGCAGGAATGTTTTTATAGTAATAAAGTATACTTAAAAAAAGTTTGGTGCGATTTGGCGTCATATGCATATTGCCTATTGGAGAAAATTAACACTAGTCATTTAGTTATTGTTATCTACTGAAATTGTTTTTGATGTCACAATTATTTTAAAGTGCTAAATTTGAAGTTTAGTTTTATTTGTTTTGTCTAAAGAACTGTTCAATTATAACTGTGCTTGCGCAGGCAAGGGAACTATAACTGTATTCAACTGACAGTTAATAATTTGCTTATTCGCAGTTCTTTATTGAACAGTTCGTATCTTTAGTTAGAACTGTTGTGGGATACGTTTTTTTTATTGAAATTTTTCATGTCCGTCTATATTATCAGGATTTCATTATTATTAAGATTTATTATAATTTTGTTTCTGGCTAGGAGGCTTAATTTTTTTAATTTTAATAATTTATGTATAACAAGTTAACAATGGGTATTGATAAATTATAAAAATTGCATGAAATTGAATTTTTCTTTCCCCCCTCCTTCCTATATCCTAGTTCTTCCCTGTGAGGTATTTATTAGTTCAGGGAAGGATAGAGGTAAAAACCACCTA